GCAGGAGATTCTCTCCATCCTTCCCCTCGAAGACCTTAACGCTCACCATGAGCGGCTTCGGGCGGGAAAAATCATCCGTCACTGACTGTGGCATCATAGACGCAAATGAAGCAGACATCTTCTGCTGCAGGTGCTCTAGCAGCGCGCATTCGTAATTTGAAAACGCCTCTAGACGCGAACCGATTGCCTCGGGACCTTGCGCCACAAGGTGTTGGACGCCCTCAGAGCCAAGCAAGGACATCAGCTTGTTAAGCCCGAACTGCATGCCCTGGGGCAAAGAGGAAAATTGTTCCATTCTCACAGAGGATCAGTCTAAACGACTCAGGTGTAAATTGACTACAAGTGCTACCAAGTGCAGTGGGGCTGCCGTAGCTTTGCGCTTTGAGGAAGCAAAACTTAAGTCACCGACCTTTCGCTCTATACTTAGAACAATTACGAGTTTAGCGGATCGCAATCTGCTAACTCCAAGAGTAATTATTGCCTTAATCCAAGGCTAATTAACTTTTTCGTTCAAAATTCAAAAGTGACTTTATTTATTTTATCTGCTGCAAAGCCGCCTAATTCTAAATGTATATATTAAATATATATAGTAAAATCTAAATACATGCATAACGACTGGCTACCCAGTATTCTTATTTGGTTGCAGTCACACCATGCCCATCTCGTGTGACACACACCCCTTTTAACAGGGTACGTGTAACCCCGTTACATACTGCATCTTGAATGAAGATGCCGAAGCAAGTCATTCACTTGGCAATGAAGTTTGAGGAATTCCGAGGTGAAGACGAGTTTACCCTACTCGACCTTGATGATAGATTTCATATCATCCTAGGCACGCCACGGCAGAAGTGTCGTCGGCCTAGCATTAGTTGGATGAATATCAAGATCGTCGTCAACAAGTCGTGCAGCACTAATTCGAGCTGGACGAAATGGCATGGGTGTATGCGTCTGCTGAAGAAGTCACAGATGTCCCAAGTAAAATTGTGGTGTGCGATGCCCCCCCATGTTCACAGGACAAGTCCAAGAAGACACAAGTAGCGACACCAACTGGAGTTGGAGCAGTCAGGCGCCAGAAAAAGACGAAAGGACTTTAGGGCTCAAACATACTGTACTGTATCTGCAAGTACAGTATGTTTGAGCTCCTTAGTACCGTACTAACAATACAATACTGTACTTGATAATCACAAAGTTCCCAAAAGAAAAGACAATCAAACCCCTTATACAGTATTCTTAACCAAACCAGGTCTTTCTTTAATTTCCAACTCATCGGGAACTGCTTAGTGGCAAAGTGCGTTTCTGAGTTCTAAAATTCTGACATGAACAATTGAACACTGGTTTTACGAAGAACAAGAGCTTGGGGAAGGAAGGTATAGGAGCCAATTACTCAAGGGCAAGCGTACAGCTTATTGGACCAAGTTCAATGGTGTGTATAAGCGTTTTCTTTGCTTTCTTTGCTGTTCTACCTGCAACTATATCGAAATGGAATAGCTCCTTCTATTTGTTCCTATGTGATATTTCCAGGTAATTTACTATTTCGTTCAGCACTAAAACCATGATTAAACGGTATTTAAAACGCCTCTAAATTAAGCACTTGATCCAAGTTTAATTTAGACAGGTTTGCATATGTGGACTACAGCCCTCATGTGACATATTTCATTGTGAAAGCGTTTTGTCAAGGACCAACCATTGATCATGTCGTCTCTGCGCAACGTGGTAAAGCGTCGTGAGCACAAGGAGCGTGGTCAGCTACGTGACCGACGAAAGCTTGGTCTCTTGGAAAAGCACAAGGACTATGTGAAGCGTGCACAGGATTACAACAGTAAGCAGAAGCGGCTTAAAATGCTGCAGCTTAAGGCTGCGCTGCGTAATCCGGACGAGTTCTACCACCGCATGCATAATAACAAGACGGAGGGTGGTGTGCATATATCCACGCACAATCATCTTAAATCATTAAGCACAGAGGCTCTTCGAACGCTTAAGACGCAGGACTTGGCCTACTTACATCTGAAACGCGCTGTGGACCTACGCAAGGCTGAGAGACTCAACCGCGGTCTTCACTTTGTAGACGCGCCAAAGGATAACAAGCATACGGTGTTCGTGGATGACAAAGAGCAGGTTGAGAACTTTGATGTGGCTCAATACTTTGATACGGTTCCTGAGCTTGCAGACAGGGCATTTAATCGTATTCGCAGGCGCGACCTTGAAATGGTGGAACTGCCCGATATGGCGGCATCTCCGAAGCAGAAGTACAAAATGCAGGTGGAACGGGACGCTTTGTACAGAGAACTAAGGGATCGATTGACACGTGCCAAAAAGATTGGGCAAATGAGCGCCAAACTAGACTTGGAACGAAAGGTCCAGGCCAAAGGCAGGAAAAGGAAAGTCAAAGCCGCGGAGAACGGTATGCCCGCTGTGTATCGCTGGAAGCAGCAGCGACAGAAATAAAGAAGGACACATGCAAGAGCGTGAGATTTGTATATCCAAAAAACATTCATAATGGATTTTGTGATGCCGGTGGTATCCATAAGACCTGCGGATCAGGAGAAGCCTTTTAAAATGAAAGAAGATCATGTGATTTATGCAGAATTAATCAAATTTAATTTTATCCGCTACATGGTGTTGTAGCAGTCGTTTCAAAAGTGTAGTTTGACGACGTTAACAACTTTTACTAACCATTTCCGTTACCTTGTCGTTCTGGCTAAGTAAAGTCCCGAATTGGCCCTAAATTCATGTATAATAATCAATAAGCATTTGTGTTCTTGCAATAAAAGGATACTTGCAGTAAATACGAGACGTACAACAAATTTGGCATATATTTTGCTAAATGTACGAAATTATAAAGATTATATGATATAATTCTGTACACATTGCTGCGTTTTCAGCCCTAAGATGGCCGTCTACAAGTACAGATTGCTGCGGCGGAAAGGACATCAGGTGATAGCGCTGCAACTGGCGGTGGCCGAAAAAATATAACTGCGCAACAAGACTGTATATCGTCAATCAAACTACTACTATTGTAGTTCCAGTGGTATTCAGAATTATCAATCTGAGACATCCATAATTTCTACTTGATTATCCTGTGCACTTATGAGCTCGCCGATTGATTTTGACATTGGCTTACAATATATTGCTCGTTTCATTGACACAATTTTATGATACGATAACCATATATGAAATTTGCTTCTTCGACATACAGTACTATTCTAAACGTGTATCTATAAAATTTAATGGCTAGTACATTTTTCGAAGTCGCAATCTTGCCGAGCCGTAAACGTTGATTGAGTAGGTCATTTAAATGATCTGTGACCATAATCTAATAAACAAGTTTCTCATATCTTGTTAGCCACCATTGATGCATAACTAGTATTAATGATATATATTTGGTACAAGAACACTTTATGCTCAAGCGCACATTTAAAATAATGCATATGGCTCGTTAAACTTCACAATGTATAATGTGCTGATTAATAGTACATTTTGTTTGCGTGACGTAAATTGTTTATGCAGATTACTAAACTTAAGCACATTTACGAACTAAGATCATTATTCAAACGGATTCAGACAATGAATTTATAAACATGAGAGCATAATGCTCAAGATTTGGAGTAATGCCATTACACGGGACGGCCATTCTTATACAATGCGGTGATTAGATAACATTAATCCCATCATACTAGGTGCTTGAACTTCTTTATTTTGAACCCATATTGAGCTCCTGCACGAGGGTGGGCGCATAAAGGAAGCTATGCCTCTTGTAACGGTGTGGCACGTGCCCTTGTGAGAGAGAGCGGGTCACACAAGATTGTGCGACCGTACATAGGTGTGTATTACACAGTGTAAAAACACAGTGATGTGGCTACACCGTAACAAGAAGCCACCACTGTCAGGATTACCAGTAGTTATTCGTATTACTATATCAATTGAGTTTTGCTATATTAATTAGGAAAACCTAGGGTTTTTAGATATTGGCGGCTCTGCAGCAACCAAAACAAAACAATACAATTCTATTTCTGAACAGAAGTGTTTGGTTGCCTGTAGTCCTTGGAAGTAGCGGATTGCGGTCCGCTACACTTGTACTGGCTCTTTGAAAAGACGTAAGGTCGGGTACCTTAGCTTAGTGTCCTCTAAGCAAAGAGCTACGGCTGCTCCGCAGCACTTGGTAGCACTCATAGTAAATCTACGCCCGAGTCGTTACGACTGATCCTCTGTGAACAAGGAGGAAAACTCCTATTTGCTCCAGGACATGCAGGACGGGCTTAATCAGCTGATGTCCCTGTTGGATCCTGAGGACGAGAGCACCTCATTTGTGTAAGAGTCCGAGGCCATAAGCGCACGCCTAGAGGCGTTTTTTAACTACGAAAATGCTGAGTTAGAGCACTCACAGCAGAAGCTGTCGATGTGAACTTTTTTAATCTCACCATTTAGAGGAAGGTGAAGTAGTGCCGACTAGGTCCATGACGCCACCGTCGACGACGGATGACTCCTTCTGACCCAGGCCGCTCATGGTGAGTTTTAAGAAATTCGAGGGTAAGGATAAAGAGCTAGTGAGAGAGGCGAAGATGGCTATGGCATCCGCCACGCTCCAGAACGAGGAATAGCGCGCTGAGCTAGCTATCTCTAAGCTTGAGCACGAGCGCGAGAATGGGCACTAACATGCGGTGCATTAATTAAAGCTGCGTTCCTCTCCTGAAAAGAGTTGAAGCGTCAGCTTCTGCGAGTGTGCTTGTCGCCTGACCAGAAACATCGCGTGCGATCGCGTTTCCTTGCCGCCCGACAGGGCAAGAAGATATTGGTGGACTTTGTCCAAAGGTTGCGTACTCTCATTGCCGGATGGAGACCGATCCTCTTTCCAAGGTGGTCACAGTGACCGTCTTTATGGAGGGTCTCCGCACTGGCGTGGCCTGGAAGTCTTCCGTGTGCATCCGTCTTCTCCTGAAGATGTGGTGAACGTGGCATTGAATGTCGGACTTAATGTCAAGTCGGCACAACTTGGTTGGATTGCACAACCTCAGAGCTCTTCAAGCGAGTCATAGCCAATGGATCTCAGCCATGCTAAGAAGGAGGAGAGAGAGCTTCGAGCTGCTAAGCAGCGCGTAAAGATTCGACGGTGTTTTGTGTGTGCTGACACCCGTCACATTCGGACTGGATGTCCCGTGTGGAAGGCGCGTAAAGGTTCCTCGACCGACATCTCGCTTCTCAACAGTCTGGTTTGTCGCGAGGAAACGAGTACACCCAGTAGGCACGGGGCGCCCAACTGGGGGAGAGCTGAGTTCTGTTAAGTCTCAAAGAGGTAGAGGGCAGCAGGGTCCAGCCCAGAAAATCTCCGTGCTCTTAAACACGGGACGTGATGTTAGCCGGACTTGCTGGTCGTAAAAGTGACTGTGAAGGGCTTTGATAAGCTATGGAAAATCCTGACCAATTCTAATGCGTCGGATAATTATGCTCGACGCTTCACGATCGAAGGAAGTCAGCTGTATACTGAGGCGCTGGAAGCGCGTTTGAGTGACACCTTCACTCTTCGCTTAGCGGTGGGGACTTGTGTCACTGTGCCGAGGGTCCCTGTAAACCTCGGCGTCAAGATCCTTGACTTTGATAGCGTGGAACCCTGTCTTGTCTTAGACTTGGATGCAAGATATGACCTTATCCTTGGTATGGCATGGTTGGAACCATGAGCCATGGATTGATTGGAGGTCGACGACCTTGGGCGCTACGCGCATGGAGCTTTGGTGAGTCATGAATGCACCTCTGCTGGGAAGCAGAACCGCTTATTGGCGTGGGCACTGGACCGGGACGGTCAATGTGCTGGATATTGGAGTATCTTAGTTGTCGAATAACAAAAGTGTTTTGAACAAGAGTCCCGAGCGTGGCTCGCGGGCTGAACGTGGATTGGCACGTAACCCACTGCCTCCGGCTACCCAAGTATTGGAGCAGTTGCTGCATGCCAAGAGTGACATGGTCGGACGAGGTCCGAGGCATCTTGGGCAAGGCCCTTCTGATGAGCGTGGAGTGGCACGTTTTCCACTGGACGGAAGCTGCAGAAGTAGCATCTCTTCGTCGGATATTGTTGACATCAAGACTCCGATGGAGCAGGCAGTGGGGACACTGGACGACGCCGAGTGCGTGTTCTCACTGGTCTCGATGAGACGTTGATCCTATATAGAGAGCAGACGGCAAAACCGTATGATATCTGTAAGACGCAGGGCGTCGAACCTGACCCAGGGTGTATCTACCGTAGACGATAGCGCACGGCTATATACCCTTGTCAATGGTATGACGGGAGAGAAAGACGGCGACCTCACCCTCGAGGCTATTCCCGCGGTGAATGCTCTTTTTGGGCTGGACGAGATGGCATTTGAAGACATTAGCAGTGTCTTGAAGGCAGGCAATTTAGCCGCGGTGGTCATCATAAGACCGAACGAGGAGATTAACACGTCGTGGCTTCTGGATAAAGCTGTCCTAGAGGACGCTAAGCAGGTGCTGAACGACGAAGTGGATCGACGATCCTGTAGGATCTTTCGGATCCTTAATATCCTTTGGTACAGGAATTCCGAGACGTAGTCCCCAAAGACCCGCCTTCGGTCCTACCCTCCGTGCCGAGGTGTGCGTCATGACGTTGACCTGGTTCCGGGAACCAAATACTGCGTAACACGCCAATGGCCCCTGCCCAAAGAGTAGTGTGACGTCAATGACACCTTTTCCATGCAAAGCACGAGGCAGGAACGGTGTGTGAGAGCAAGTCTCCTCCTTCAAAACCAACGTTTTGTGTACGGAAGCCAAACAGCAAGTGGCCTGTCGTTCACGCTTACAATATGCTAAACGCTGCCACAATCCCGGTATAAACGCTAATTTCTAAAAAGGCTGTTCTTTAGAATAGTACGGTTGGCTGTACAACGTACAGCGTACTAAATTTGGTCGACAAATTGCTCATGAAAGCGAGTGATATTTTGCTGACAGCGGTGAGTACTCCAAGCGGGATGCTGTGGGAGTGGCTGGTGATGCCTCAAAGGCTGTCAAATGCACCAGTAACATTTTAATGTCTTGCGTCGCAGTTGTTTAGGCCCCATCGGGCGTATGTGGCGAGACATACTTCGACGATATCTTCGTCCACAGTCGGGCGGGGCACGGGAGGACAGATGTGGAAACCACATCGTCCATATGAGAGCGCTGCTCGAGTGCATGCGCCCGAACAAGCTGTATGCTAATGCCGACAAGTGCATCTTCGGCGCGGAAGAAATTTCCTTTTTACGGTGCTTCGTTGTGAGCGTGGCCTTCAAGTGGATCCCGCTAAGGTCAAGGCCAATGTGGACTGGCCAGAATCAAAGAACCAAAAGGAGTTGCGCAAGTGGGTTGGCCTCGCCAACTACTTGCACAAGTAAAGCGCAAATTATGCGGAAATGGTACGACCATTGTCTAAGCTCTTCAAATAGAGTAAGGAATGGTGTTGAGATACCGAGCATCGGGATGCTTTTGACAGGGTCAAAGACAGCCTCCTTCATGCACCGATACTGGCGCTGCCAGACCCCGATCGTCCTTTTATTATTGTCTGTGATGCTTCGAACTTTGCCATCGGCTGTGCACTGCTGCAAGCAGACGCCGAAGGGTGGGATCAGGTGATCGCGCTCGAGTCCCGCCGGCTTCAGGCTGCGGAGAG